TCCGGCACAGTTGCACGAGTTATGGCAAGCGCTGCATGCTTTTGAAGCCAAGGTTATTACATTTTTTGTGTAGAATTAGCTTTGAGGGACATCAGACCTAAAAAAAAAGAAAACTAAGACGTTTTCAAAGAAAATTCCTCCACGCGGAAAATCTTCAGCTTCTGTGTGTGTGTGTGTGTGTGTGTGTGTGTGTGTGTGTGTGTGTGTGTACATGATTGTCTAGCCATTAATGCACGAAAAAATTATGAAAATTTGACGGTTATAGGGTTATTGATTAAACTGCCAGAAAAACCGGAACTTAAATCCGCTGAATGTTCAGTTAACTTATCAAATTCGAGATTTTGCCGGAATTCTGTTGCTTTTATATAGGATTGAAGTACAGTGGAGCTTTCTGCAGTATTAAATATTTACTAATAATTGATGAACATACTTCTTCCTGTTTCACATTACATTATTTTTCAGTACGGCAGAAGTCCTGAGCCAAGAAACGATGAGGATGTGAAGCTTCTCAAACATGAGCTTCCTGCAGAAGCCAAAGTGGATGAAAAATTACTGAAAATGTTCAGTTATCAGGTTAATTACCCGCTCTGCCTTTCCTAAAATGTTGGTAAGCATGTGGGGAAATAGATTCTGTACCTAAAGGAAAGTTAGGGGATTTGATGAGATTTGCTTCACTGAGCATATGTTCTAGGCTTCTGGTAATCTTGTATCCATCGCATCGATTGTTGGTGGAATTGCGGCCCAGGAAGCAATGAAAGCAATCACGCATCATATGACACCGCTCAGGCAGTTCGTCTACATCGATTGCTTGGAAGCGTTGCCGGGTGATTGGTCGCCGTATGATAACGAGAAGCTTACTGCCAACGATTGCAAAATGGTCTTATTTTTGTGACATTTTTCCCCCAGGAAGTGCTTCCACACCCGAAATTTTACTTAAAAGAAAACGTACAGCAAGATTTTGCTGGCAGCAACATGGGTACCATCGGATGATTTTTCGTGAATATATTGTTAGATGCATGGAACTTATATTTAATTCAGGTTCAGCAATAGTTCATAATCAAGTTTCCCACCCGTGCAAATAGCAACTTTTCCAATTGGTTTGACCAGTGCTGCATCGCCCGTTGGTCAGCCTACGTCCGTTTCGTCCAAAAAAGACTACCAGCTGAACGATTCAGAGAATAGAAATACTTGGCTTAGTGTTAGCAGGTTCAGGGTATGTCTATTAAGTACCACAATCTTGTCCCAAACGTTGCCCCCGCCAGAACTCGACGGGGCATCTTACTGATTATTAGAACCCTGGGGATAATGTAAAGGCATACTTCGATAAAGCGATGACTGATTTTCAATTTTTAAAAAGTTCGTTTGGGTACTCTGTACTGAAAATAGCTCGCCATTTTAGAAGAGGGGAAAAAATTGTTTTTTATCGCTGCAGACGATATTTTTTTTGCAGAAAAACAGTCGTTACGATGGACAGGTTGCTGTGTTCGGACAAGCATTCCAGGATGCGCTTGCGAAACATAATTTCTTCATAGTTGGTGCAGGTAACCATTCTTGTTCAAGTTTGATGATTTTTACTTTTTGTTAACTTTTCCGATAACTTTTTTTTATATTTTGATATTTTTATATTTTATGTTTTGACGACTTTTAGTTTTTTAGTTCTGGTGGCAAATATTTATACTACATTCTTCTACTTTTGTATGCAAAATCGAGCCAAAAAAGCCCATTCTAGCCAAATTGCACTTGACAAACTCTTCACACGTGCTTTTATTTCTCAGCTAAGCAATGTTCTCCATTCTCTTTGCTTTAGCTTTGCAAATCGACTTTCAGTTATTTTTGAATTTTGTGAAGCGGTGGTCAGGGCATATTATTAAGTGTTATTGGTTAGAAAATCTTGATGGATTTTTTCTTTTCGTTTCAGGTGCTATTGGATGTGAATTACTGAAGAATTTAGCAATGATGGGTGTGGGTTGTG